GCCACCGGCCGGCGAGGCTCTTCTGTTAACTGAGCCCTGTGCCCAGTGTACAGAATCTCTATTGTTTGATTCATTATATGGGAGAAGGGAAGAATAGAAAGGCAGAGAGTCTAAATTTTAGTTTATATAGTCATTTTCCCTCAAATATAGAGAGATTTATAATTTATTTAATTTTTTTTAGTATATTGATTACAATATTCTTGTTCGTTGAAATTAAAAATTATACAAGGGTATTAAACAATTAATAATCCTTTTAAATAAGATTCAATCAGTTAGTATATTAGGATTAATGCCTAGTTTAGTCGGTAACGTTATATTTGTCTTAAATTATTAACATTAATGAAAAAATTCAAGCATTGTTTAGTTTACTTTCATCCATATTTCTCATAGTTTATATGTTTATTACACTAATTTTATCGATTATTAGTAAAATCATATGAGCTTAACACATACGTATGTTTTTCATTTTATATTAGAAGAAATTAGTTTAATTTAAACAATAATAGTTACTTATAAGGATAAAATAATAAGATAGTTATTTGAATTTAAAAAATAGTTAAATTTAAATAAACAATCATTTGAAAAATAAAAATGATAAAATAATTCTTTTAATTTAAAAATCATTAATTTTTAAAATTAAAAAAAAATGTTCACCAAAAGAAAGAACCGCTTTACTTATGTATAGAAGCAAGTAAAAGTAAAAATAAAGGTTTTCGACATGTTTGAGGTTAGACTTTCAAAAACCATAAATATTAATGTATTTTGTTTACTATTTATTACACCCAGAAAAATTGTCCACAATTAAGTATATTTTTATAAAATCAAATAATCAAACAGACACTATGGTTGCTCTTAAAAAATTAAGAAATTCTAACTTTAATTAAAATTTTATAATAAAAAAGTGAGAAAGTATTCAAAATATTTCCCTTCTCTTCCGTTAAAAGTCTTCTGCTCTTAGCCAACCAAAATTCCTATTCACTATCAGCCACCGTTAAGCCCTGATATTTTTTGAATATACATTCCTCAATATTCTCCTACTGAAGTAAATCAGCATTGTGCCTACTGAGTGATATTCAATTGAACTTTTAAAATGCATTCAGCACCTCATTACTCCCAATCAAAAAACTAAGTTAAATGAATCTGAACTTTTGGGTTCAATGCTGCAGCATGTAACAACTAATAAGATGCCTCATTTGAAAGGCTTAGACAACTAATATTTGTTTGGACACACGTCTTAAACGTATAAAATCACGTTCACTATGTGAAAGTAGCACAGATTTTGATTCATAACTTCTGAAAAGATGTGTAACATAACATGTCAGTAAGCAAAAGTTATATGAATCTGAATTTTAGGTTCCATTCAGTGGTTACATACTACCAGTAAGCACAGAAGCCAAACATGCCCCAAATCAGTCCTCACACGTGAAAGAATTCAAAAACTTGTACGTCAACATAATAGCCATCAATATCCTCTGCTATAATCTGCTGAATTTCAGCATTGAAGGTGATTACCAGAGGAAAAACAAAGAGAGAATCAAACTTACACTCAAATTTTTATGACTATGGCAAGAAGTTTCCACAATACACAGAAATCGTTTTGCATTTAGGATAATGAACCACTGAAACAAGAAGACATTATCACATCTGTTTTTACAATAATCAATGAATCTATAATTTCACTACAGGATTGAATCCTCTGTACATGTCTCAGGATTCTTGTAAATGTTTATTTTCTGCCAAAATGGTTTCCAGTAATGATCCGCAAGCGTCTTCTAGCAAATCTAACACCTGCCAGTGCCAACATAATGACAATAATTAAAGAGTTCTCCTGTAGTTCAATAGTGCTTGTCATCTTTGAAAATAGATGCATTTCTTGCATCATCAACAATTTGAGACCAGATCCACCAAGCAGTACCATCATTCAAAACTATCATAACACTATACAAGTCAAGTACTACTATAACCAACATGAATATCATTACCTTCTCAAACCCTTGCGCTCCACCATAATAGGGATCCGGGACTTCACTTTCATCATGCTTCTTACAATATGAGCACATCAACTTAACCTGCATCATTACAATTCTGGTTAGACCAAAATGTAGAACAAACAAAAGCCAAAGAAGAGCAAGTCCTTGCACCAACCTTTTTATGTGCATCATCCGGTAAGGAATGTTTTCCTTTCCATCTATTAAAGGCCACCAGTATGTCCTCTAAAGGAAACAAGAAAATGACCATCAGCAAACATCACAAAGCACGTAACCAAACATTCCATCAGAGAATATACCTCTGTTCTGCTTGTCCATAGCCAGAATGAGGTCAAAGTCAGTGAAATCAGAGGGCTTGATTGGCCTTGAAATAGAAGTTATCTGAATCCCACGCTTCTTTGAGGCTGCCCTCATTCTCGGGTCCGCTTCATTTCCCTTCAAAAATCACCACCATCTCAAAAAAATAATAACTTTTTCAACAATGTATAGAGTTTAATTTCCATGTACTGTGAAAATCTTTTGCACCGCAGTGCTTGGTATAACTTTTTATCTCTTATTGGAAATGATAACTTGTGATTGAAGATATATTGTAAATGAACGAAACTACAAATCCTTCATATTATATTCCTTCATTTCCATCCACTCCAAAAGCATTCTCAATTTCCTCTTGAATTTTATTGAAAAAATGCTTCACGATTACCTGTCATTCTTTGTCAAATGCAGACTTAGAATGAATGAAATTTCCCTTCTTCCAACAGAATTATGCATAGACTGCTCATCTAAAAGTCCTCAAATAAATAATATATATCTGTGTGAAAAATCCAATCACAAACAGACACATGACATATATGATAATCCACATCTTAAGAATTACTGCAGAGAGAATGAGGCTAAACCCAAAATGCTAAATGATATATCAAAGCATAGACTAGATCAGTTGTTGGGTCATATAACATGTTATCAACACACTAAACACTGTTGGAGTGACAAAGTCACACATTGACCAGCAACTAGGCCGAATAAAATACATAAGTGTGAAGCAACACCCATCTACCCAACAAATTCGATGGGATTGAGTTAAACTTTACTCGTATTTAAGATACCATGTAAAAAATTTGCTCACTCCTTTTAAACTAAAGATAAACCCATCAAAAAATTTCCTCTAAAAAATCATCTTTTGGATGAAATGCATAAGGTGTTTGATACAAGCACGACACAAACCCACCTCGTGGTAATTGATGGTGCCAGCCGAATCAATTCTGAAAATCGAATTGAGGCTCTTTTTGTTGACTAAGTCAGTGAAGACTCCTTCGGCAGCGGGGCTTCTGCAGATGTTGCCAAGGCACACGAAGAGAACGGAAAATGGCTTTGTTTCGTTCTCCGTGACGGAGGCTGAAGAGGCCATGGACGCACGAATTGGAGAAAAGAATCGATTTTTTAAGGAAATAGCAAATGGGGTTGTTGGGTTTCTCAGAGTGAAGTTTGGAGTTTGTGAAGAAGGAACAACGAAGAGGAGATTTGGTGAATGGAGGAGTTGGGGAGAGTGGCAAAATCGTAAATTAATGACGTTCATGGTTCCTTCAAAAGACCTTGTTCTCAAATTTTTTGTTTCTCCTCCTCTGATGTTTTTCTAGAGCCCAAGAAAAAAAAAAAGCCTCCAATTAAAGTTATCTTTTTTTTTTTATTATTAATGTATTTTATTGTGTGCTATATTCTATATTTTTTATTAACTTTTTGAGAGATCTTTAATCAGTAAACATGCTTAATCGTGGTAAATCATTTGTTTGCTAAAGTATTTTTGCACGTTTGGTTCTACTTTATTTTTAAATAAAAGAGTTTAGTTTTAATACGTTTTCAGTGTAATTCTTTTTGTTGATTGGTGAATTTTAACATTCGATTTTGTTTTCCACACCTTTTATCATCAATGTTTTCAATTTTCACAAAATGTATTGGTAGATTAAATTTATAATAAAGTGATAGTCTGTCATAAAATAATAAGTAAAACCAGGTTAAAATAACATTGTTTTATTACCTCTAAACAGTTCTCTTTATTCTTTTATTTTTCTTTTAATTAGAGTAATTCATTTTACAATAGCGAACAGCAATGATTTTCAGCAACAACAAAGAGTTATTACCCTTCGTGATAGCAACATCACCCTGGAATACAGTAGAAGATTGGTTAAACTTGTTCTTCTTTTTTTATGACACTCTTAATTATGCTACTTGGAAATATCATGTGACCAACATCAAGAACTTCGTAACTTTGGTTACAAGATCATTTAAGTATCTATTATTAACGAAGTTATATAGATAAAAGAAAAAACAGTTTGCAACTTTATAGTATAGGAGATATATGCTTTTATTATATTCATATTCGTAGGAGTACAATGAAACTTAGAAGAATTTATTGAAGTTTTTATCAAACGCCTCAGAAGAAATAATATTATATGCCCTTTCCGTAGGATGGAAACTGTCCCAAAATATGTAATTTGACCTGTTTGAACATGTCCCCAAGGTAAGAGGGTTACATAGAACGCCTACTTCAAGATCTCCCGTGCCACAACATCCTTTATCTGCTACTTCAAAACCTAAATCAACAAAAACACCATGACAATGAGAATTAAGTTAGACAAACAAGAATGTACTAATAAACAGTTAAGTTTAGCAACTTAAATATTTTACTACTTATATATATAGTATCGTAGATGTCTTTCATTACCATATTTAGTGGGATCTTGAACCATATCCAATAATTTACTGTAAATATCAATGTAGACAAATTTAGCATCAGGAAATATTTTCCCAAGGATATCTATTTGGGATGTTAGCTTCTTGTTAAAGAGCATTGCAGCCTGGTTTTCAGGATCTGAACATGTCCTGAGAAATCCTCCTCTGAGTGTTCTTTGAGAAGGCAGACACCCTAAATTTGGCAAACCAAGTACTCCAATCTTTCTAGCTCCAAGTCCATAAAGATCCTTCATTTTATGCAAATATAATGAAATAAGTTTCGATAATACAAGTTTAGATTAATTTGTTCATTTGGGTAGGTGGCTCACATACTTGTAAGAATTTGGTAGCTTCTGAAACCAAGAAATCTGTGTAAGTTGCAATATTATACTGTAGTTTCCTAAATGGTAACGAAAAGAAATTATTGGCAATATCATTGCTTCCTGAACTCAAGATGTATATGCTTTTCGATATAATTGTTGTTGCTTTTTTTTCTCCAACCAAGTCATGTATCTTGGTTTTGTATTCCATGAATTTGTCTAGTTGATCTGATAATGATATCACTAACTGAGGAACATATGACAGAAAGAAAATTATAGTGAGTGTTAAAAGATATGAAGGGGAGAATGAAAAGATACTGTAAGGTTTTAGGTGAGAGTAATCAGTTACTGCTAGTTTAGAAGTTAGAGGATCATATCCACTGGAACCAGATGCAAAGCTGACACCAGTGAGAAGATCTTCACGTTTCAAATTTGGATCAAGATAGGGAGGCAAAAGCTTCTTGAGATGTAACTTTTCAGCTGAAAAGGACCAAAGAAATTAGAACATTTTCATTCTATTATGCATATAATGATAAAAGAATTGAAGAGTAAGGATTTTTGTTTGTACCAATGAAATCTGAAGGGATTAAACCATTGCTGAACCTCCCAGTTGGTTCATTTCCTCTACCAAAATCTTTACCATAAGGTTGAAAATTACATTTCATTGCAGTCATAATGTAGTCATTGTTACCTGTATCTAGTATGGAGTCCCCAAACACAATCAGTGCGGGAACACTTCCATTTTTTTGTAAACATTTTGTTTCTATGATGGTACTGTGAATAATAGTTAAAAGGGACCAAAGAATGACTAAAATCAATTGAGAAGAAGGAGTTTTAGAGAAAGACATTGTGTTTCTATGATGGTACTGTGAATATTTATCTTTCATTTGATCATTATATGCAAAATAATCATCTTTAAAAGGTAACAAAATGTATCATATCTAATTCTCATGGTATCTTACAGAATTGGTAGCTTGAGTATATAATATAATTAATAAATTTATCTTTTAACAAATTTGATCGATTTTAAAATTAAGTTATTTTAACTACATTATATTTTTAGTAAAATGCTAAAAATATGTTAATTTGATAAACACAAGTTTTGTAAATATTTAAGAATTTTATTTGATATGATTCTATTTTTTATTTAACAAATATGAAATTTTATAAATTTAATTTTTTAACAAAATTGGTCGATATTAAAATTCGTTCATTTTAAATATATTCTATGTTTGCTAAAATTTTAAAATTAGAGATTAATTTGATAAACATAAATTTTCTTAAATATTTAATATTTTTATTTAAAATAACTATATATTTTTCATTTAAAAAAAACGTTTAATAAATTTAATTTCTTATTTATATAAAACTTAAATTACCTTTTCGGTTCAATTCGTCTAATCTCATACTATTCATCAACAAGTTTCCTATCTCATCTCCTTCTCTGTTTAAAAGGAATCCTTTGATAAGAAACTAGGAAGGATATTTTGATATTTAATTTCACTACAAGAAAAACAAGTATTACGGATGACCAAGATATGTCGGAAATATATAAAATTTGTTGGTAATGACTTTACCAAAATCTTTCAGTAATAACGTCGTCAGTAATATTTACAGATAAAATTTTATATTCGTCAGTAATGTAGGAAATATTCCTACCGACAAAAAAAAATTGTCAGTAAATTTTTTCGATAAATGTCGTGATCTGATTTTTCTTCTTCCTTTGTTTTAGGGTTTCAATCTTTTTATTTGTGCTTTTTTTGGGCAACAAAATCAAATTTGTTTACCTTTGTCGCTGTCCTATTTCTTCTTTACTGCTAGACACTTGCAACTTCTTTCAACCCAACATTTCATCTTTACATCCAACACTTCATCATCTTCCCAATCAATTGTTAGTTGAGAACCCGCAACACATAATCACACGCAGAACTCACCAACACATAACCACACACCAGCGATTCCACGAATATTACGTGGAACAGATTGGAATTCCTTGATCTACCCAATTTGATTCTCATGTTCGTGACTAGAGCGAAGATGCCATGGTGCTTGGCAATGGTGACATAGCTTCTAGTCATGACGGAGCGTGTTTGGACGAAAGTAAGAAGTCATGAAATTTTGAGGGTTCTGGCCCTAAGAGGAGATCCAATGAGGTGTTGCAGGTTGTTTTATGGTTAAAGGTGTTGCAATGGTTGGAGGTGTTGCCATAGTTGGAGGTGTTGCAAGTTATGCCAATGTGGTGTTGTGACCATGAGAAATGGAGATAAAGAGAGGGACATTTGTTCTTTTTTTAAGAAAAAGGAGATGAAGGAATAGACTTGGACAAAAGATTTAGGTAGGGAATTTGCCGCTTTTTTACCGACAAATTTTTCGTCAATAAATGAAACATGCATTACTAATAGATTATTGAAGGAAAATTTTTTCAATAAATAAAACTTCCATTATCGATGAAAAAACATGTTGGTAATTGAAACATGCATTATCGACGGATTTTGTCGATAAAATTATGTCAGTAATTTCATATATTTTGATAGTTTTTGGTGAAGGATGTCACTTTCAAGAAAGATGAGAGGGTGAGTGATAAGTCATGGTGTTGATCTATAGGTTACCTTCATATCATTCCTTCATTTTTGAAGTATATTCATCCTGGTACACTTCTTTTACAAAAAACTTAATGATAGAATCAAAGATCTTCCTTTTATTAATTTTTCAATTTAGAACTAGAATTTGTGCACACACTATTAATTGATTGAGATCAATAGATAAGTTATTACAACATCTCACTAAAAGCTCTTCCTCAAGTTGTTAAATGGGTCGAACAATAATATCTACTCCTAGCTTGAGGAGGCTAACAAACACGTGTTTTTCTTTCAAAAATTTTCTTGTTTGGCTAAGTGATTTCTAATGGTTTTAGGTTGACCTCTTTTTGTTTTTCATTTTTGTTTTTCCTCCTATTTATATATATTTTTTTCTTCCCTTTTTGTAAATAGACATACATGAATAAAATTTCTCTTTCTTTCCTTTCTTTCTTTATCTCCATTCTTCTTGTTTTTCTACTTATGTCAAAGATCATCCATTGTTACTTTCAATATTGTTTGTGCATTTCATCAAGATTCATCATAGATAATATGGTTTGCAACTATTCTTATGAACATACCACTATACTATAATAATAAGGTTAAATATATTTTTTGTCCCCTCACTATTATAAAAATATATATATTACCCCTAAACTAAATTATAAAATATTAAGTTCCTCCTCTTTTATGAAAGACATCTAAAATGCAACAAACAATATGTGGAGTGTTTTCTACGTGACAAATGAAGTTCATGTATAACATATAAATGCTAGAAGTTCCTTATCGGCTAGAGATAAGGTCAATTCATAATATATAATTGAGTGCGAACCTCACCATACAAGATGATTTTGTGGGATTGAGTTGTTAGGTCTATCAAGGGAGGTGTTCATTAGGAAGAAATAACACCAATAAGACTTGAGTTCAACCACATAAGAGATTGACACCACTCTTTTTTAACAATACAAGAAGAGAAAGAAAAAAAAGACATAATAAGCGAGTGGAAATCTCACCTTACAAGTCTTAACGTGGAGGAGGTGTGTTAGAAGTCTCTCATGGATTACATATAAGCTTAATTTACAATATATAAGTGGAAGTAAACCTCACCCTACAAATCAATTTTGTAAAGTTGAGTTAGACTTAAAATTTACTTTTTAGCAATAACATAATTTCAAATGATATTTTACAAAATTTTCATAAAATACAAAGATGAATATTTTATAATTTTGTTTAAAGATGAAATACAATTTTTATGATAATTGAGGGATAAAAAATAAAATATTTAATCCTAATAATAATTAGGTATACCATTTTATAACAAAAAATAAAAAAAAAAGAAATAAAAATTGTTTCAAATAATATTAATCTTCTTTTTGAAATTAAACACCCAAGTCACAAATATAATTTTCAAATTAATTTTGAAAATCAAAATAAATTATTTCTCTTAGATATATTATCTTTATCTTTTCTTTATCTTTATCGTTAGCTATTTTGTTATTATTTCTTATTCTTATTTTGGACTTAGCCTATATTTATTCTATTATAAATAAATGACTCATATATTCAACACAAGAGAAGATTAATCTTATACATAGTTTTCACTATATTCAATATGGTATCAGAGCCAAGTTCTATTAGAAAAAAAAAATTGTCACCTATCACTAGTGGAAAAACAGCGTATAACGTCACGCGTTTAACGTCTAACCACTAAATAGCCAACGTTAAAAATGACTGGTGGCAATTTTGTAAATAAATGCAATTATTAAACGTTGTTTAGAATTATAATTCGACGTAAAAGGATATAAAACGTCTAATGTCTCAGCGTTAGACGTCAAAAGGCTAGTAAATTCAATAAAAATTTGAGCGGAAGATTGAAAATTCATTCACTTTATCTTAGCGCGCGAGACCCTCTTCTCTGTTCAAACTTTTCTCGAACGAAGTTTGACTACCATCACATGTAATTTTTCTTTCATTTGATACAAATGCATGTTAATTAACTACTTTAAGTATGATTTTCGTTTGTTTTCACCGATTATTTTCGTGTTCTTGTCCTTCACAGATGCATTTTGCTTTCTCTCTCACCGGTGGTAACACTTTATTCCGATGAACCCACCTTTTGAAGGTTAGTTTTCGTTTTCGTTTTGAAGAACTTATTTGTTAAACTTGTTTGTTGTTTTTTTGGTTGAACTTGTTTGTTGTTGTTTGGTTGAACTTGTTTGTTGTTGTTGTTTGATTGAACTTGTTTGTTGTTTGATTGAACTTGTTTGTTGTTTGTTATTGTTATTTGTTTTTGATCCTATATTACCGTTCATAGTTCTTCTTTTCAGGTTTCATAGAGTTGTAAAAAAAGATTACAATTAATTAAAAAAATAAAAAAAAATTATTAACGTCGTATATTGACAAAAATCGACATTAAATTAACGTCATATATTGACAAAATTCGACGTTCGACGTTAATTTAATGTCTCCCAATATGACGTCATTCGCAAATTCGACGTGAAAGGCCCAAAATATTCGACGTTGTACGCTGTTTTTGTACTAGTGTATGCCGCTATACCTGCCACTGTCGGCGGTGGCGCTTTCTACCATTGTTTAACGGTAACACAGTTGTCTACCGTTGTCAATACCAGAGTTCTAGTTTCGACCAACAATCACACGGTTTTAATCGTCTCAGCCAGACCACCGTTGTAGCATTAGACGCCTTCATCAAAACTCTTTGCACTCTCAATAGCTTTTGAAGTTGTGGATCTACTCCTTTTTCCGTCGTGCATGGTGCCACATGTCATTTCCTTTCAGTTAGCAATTTAGAGCGTAGATGTCACTCTTTTTCCTCTTTTAAGTTCATCGTGTGTGATCACACTTCATGGCTCCTCTCAAACAACAATTCAAAGCGTCAAGGTTGCTCTTTTTCCTTTTTCAAGTGTCTTTGATTGGAGAATCTTGAATTTTTAAGGTTTCTCTCTCCGGTTCATCCATGGTTTCTTCTGTTGTTGTCTCTTCTACTCTCCCTTTTGTCACCATTGCGTTTAACTCGTCCATATATGTTTTTCTCCCGTGACAAATATGTTTTTTTTGTTAGTTTATTATAACCTGTGGTG